GTGTCATCACCAATTCTTACATTAATCTTGCAAGACAGCTATTATCATTATGAATTTATTATAAAGTGAGAAAACCAAATTTCTAAAAGATTACTAAATTTATGAAGGTCAGAGAGTGAATTAGTACCATAATTGTGATACGAGCAGGGTCTGTCTGGTTTCAGTCTATCTTTTTAATTCATATTATAATGTCCGTGGCAAATGGATAAAGCCCATCTTTCATTACATCATTTAATTTAGAAACATATGAAATTCTTGGGTAAAAGAGACAAAGATCATGCCAGAATCTGTTGTTGATCCTATTTTCAGTCTACTAATTGGACATAGGAATTACCAAGAATAGAAAAGAAAATTAATCTGGCCTCTACTATATATCCTTTAAATTGATGGACAAGGACAAAATTAGCATCTCATCTAAATATAGAGGAAACGGCCTATAGACACATTTTTCTTCTTATAAGAAGGTAAATTGTGAAACTACATCTGGAATCCTGTCTACATTTCCTATTGTCATGCTGTAAGAAAATATCATATAGCTATAGAAGAGGAAAAAAATAATAAAGAGAATAAAATTTTTTTGTTTTTTTTTTTTAACCTTAAAAATAATAGATTCTAGAGCAGAGATAAGAGGCTGGCTAGGGAATGACAGGGGAAAAAGGAGAGGTACATAAAGTAAGCATTTTGCCTTATATACCATTAAGGGCAACTATGACCTCAAACAAGATGGCAATAACAGAACATTTTTCTTCTTATAAGAGGAAAAAAATAATAAAGAGAATAAAATTTTTTTGTTTTTTTTTTTAAACCTTAAAAATAATAGATTCTAGAGCAGAGATAAGAGGCTGGCTAGGGAATGACAGGGGAAAAAGGAGAGGTACATAAAGTAAGCATTTTGCCTTATATACCATTAAGGGCAACTATGACCTCAAACAAGATGGCAATAACAGAACCAAATTTTAGGCTGAATAAATCACTGGTTTGACACTCACTTTTATTATATCCTTTTTGTTGTCCTTTTGATTTTCTTTTACCTGCAGATGACTGTTGAAAAACGAGTAGTTAAAACTTCCTAGGCTATTCCAGAAAAAGGAAAAAATAAGGTGACACTAAGCCAGAAGAAGATAAGGCTGATAGTAGAGGCAATAATGAGTTTTGTATAGATAAAGGAACAGAATGAATGAAGGGGAGATTTTATGCATTTCCATTGAGACTAGGGAAAGAGGGAAGGTCAAAAATAAGAAGAATGCCCTATGGGCTTAGAGACACAGAAATGACTTTTTCTATGGAATAATGTTTCAAAATCATACTCTGCTAGGCAAGTTTTTCTTATAATGGTTTAGGTTCAGTACAGACCTGAAAAAGGGGTAGCCTTTCAATGATCTTTTCTAGCCCGTGATTAAAATTCAGTTTACCAGTTTTCTCCATTATCTCAAGATATGTATAAAATAATAATTCTACCCTCATCTCACTTGGCTCTTTTAGCCTGGGAATTTCTGTTTTATAGTCCTCTGGCCACAATATCTCCTTTTATGATGCAAAAAGTCAAAGGCGATAGATGATCTGGATAGTCTCCTATGCAACAGAGCTACTCACTTCATTTAAATGGAAATGCGCATTTTCATGGAATTCAGGCCTGTACTGATGAACAAAGATAAGCTGCCACTATTAAATAGAATAGTGATATACAAAAAAGAAAAAGTGTCCTAGAAAACTCATTAAAAAAACAACAACAGTAAACTTCATAGTGAAAGACAAGAAATTTTGAGAATACATATGTGTATAGCCTAGACTTAGGACAAATTAAATTTTCCAAGAATTTATTGCATATCTGGATGGTTATAAAATTGAAAACCTTTGGGACAGAGATTGTGTGTGAAAGACTGATTGAATATATATGTCTTTGATGAGCATAATGACTCAATATGAAAAAACTCTGTAGCATAGGTACCTTTTATAAATAGACTTTAGCCAACTAATAAACATTTTTCAGTGGACATGTTAAGAAGTATTATTGGTTAGGTGTGATGTAATTTTCCACACTGTTTCCTTTCTTAAAATTTTAATGTGGTTACTTTAGGGTTAATTTTTTAATAACTCATTTAAGGAATATTTAGTAATCATACATTGTGTCTCCCAACTAGAAACCTGGAAAAATAGTCTAACTGATTTCTTTATTCAAAATCATGCAGGTCTTGCAGACCTTTCCTCAGCAATGAATTGTAAATCCCCTGCTACTCTCAATGCCTTTATCAGAACAGAGTGTCTTTCACCGAACAATTATTAAGACCTGAAATCTTGCTTGTTTCTCCGGTCTCATTGACTCTATCCCACTTCTGTCCACCTATTCTTCTACTTGTGTCCTTCAATTTACTCTTTAAAGGGGAATACCTAATACACACAGATGATGTTGAAATAGAGTTTGAAAAGACACAATCAAATAGGTGGAGGGAAAAAATAAAGGATCTGAGACAACCTAAGTAAAGTATTTGCAGTAAAAATCTGGGCAAATAACCAGTTGTGCAATTATGTCATAGATGTTGTGTAACTATATTAATTCTTCTTTAATTTGACTAAACAATGTTTTCCCACATTGCTGCTGTAAGAAAAGTCCACACGTTCATGAGGTTGTTGCCACATACAATTAGAGTTTTAGGAACATGACCTCATAATGAATGAAAAAAAAAATTTAACCCTCACCTGAGGATATGATATGGTTTTATTGACTTTTAAAAAAAATTTCTTGAGACAAAGAGAGAGAGAGAGAGAGAGAGGTGTGAGAGAAACATTCACTGGTTGCCTCCCATATGGACCGGACAAGAGATTGAACCTGCAACCTGCGTATGTGCCCTGACAGAGGACTGAACCTGCAACCTTTAATGCTCCAACCAGTGAGCCACCTGGCCAGGATGACCTAATGAATTTAATGAACAGAGCAGTACTGGTCAGGAGCACCGAGAGGAAAGTTATAACAACTTTGTCTTATAAAGAATTTCTGTTTTTATGATTTTCTTGAAGATGCACATTACAAGGACGCTTACCATATTATTTGAAAGTTGAAACAGTCACAGATAAATATAAAAAGGAGACACTGATGTATAGGATTGACTACATGGTTTAGATATTGTCTTTGGCAAATCAGAGCAATGTGATATTTAAAACAGACCCATTAATAGCTATTGTTTACTTTGGCAGTGTCCGTTACACATTTTACAGGCAAAATTTATATTTTATCTGGAAAAAGCCTGAACCTTAAGAAAAAATTAATTTGTTTACACTTTAGCTATTTGATTTTATCTTTTAATATGATTTCAGACAGCGGTGTTTAATTTCTGCACCGAGGGCTCAGAGAGAAAAGGCTCTGCTGTGGGTGTGAGAGTGGAATACTGCAGTGGTAAAGAACGTGGCAGAGGAGGAAAGCCAAAGTCAGGGCGTGATGGAATCACTCGACTTCCCTTCTTCTCTCTTCCTCTGCTGCTTAAGAAAACAACCCTCAAACTAAATGAATGTAATGCAATCACTCTTTTCAATTAAGTCTTTAGTGCCTATTGATGTTTCTTTATGTTCAGTGGTAGTGGATAGAGATTCTGGTTGCATTCCAGCTTCTTAATCTTCCTGATATGACAGCCTCTTTCTGGCTGTGAGCATGAGGATTAAACGTATAGGACCCCTGAGTCAGCTTTTAGAGGGAGAGAGACCTGGCCATGCAGGAGATGAGATGATCCACTGAGCACAGGGAATCAAATGGTAAAAGGGACTCTTTACCCGGGCACTGCCACTTGCTTAATGCTCTGTTGTTGCTACCTAAAAAGCCTGTAATCACTCTTTAACAAGGGACTCTACGTTTTCATTTTGCACCATCCCCCCACTAATTATTTAGCTGGTCTTTCCGTAAAGAAAAGCTTTGAAAGGGACAAGGAATAATCATCTCCTTTTTCTTTTTTTTCTTTTGCATAGTCATGCTCTGCTATGTTCTGCTCTGTCCAAAGGATTGTACATATATCCAGCATTTCTAGAGGAGACCAATACCTCCCTTCAGGATCCAGTTTCTCTTCCCTGTTTAGGAATTTATGTCCTCTCCGTCTTTTAGCTGCATGCATGGCTGCCTGGTCACAGATTATATTTCCAAATTATCTTGCATTTAAGTGTGTCCATGTTACTGTTTTTGAACGATTGAGAGTGAATTTTTAAACTTGTGGGAAATCGCCTTAAAGATACAGCCAAAGAGACAACTCTTTCCTTTTTCTCACAGGCTGGCAGAGGGATGTTTGGTGAGGAAGATGACACACTAGGGGAAGGCAGATCAAAGTGTAGAAGGAACTCCCTTTTACTCTTTCAAAATCTGAATGAGACTTCCTGGGCCCCATGGATTACTCGCATTGAGTCAGAAACTTCAAAGAGGAGTGAATTTTCTTTGTTACATTTGGCTTAGCCTCTGCCGTAAGTAATGTACAGAATAAATTCTTGAAAGCTGTTTCAAAATGTATTTGTATTTATCCGCAATAGGTGAGTAGTACAGTGTTCTGAATGTTTGAATGGTCTACATAGGGAAAATTACTGACATGAAAATGATATAAAACTATAAAACAAATTTTATCCGCAATGATTCTCAGAACACTTTTGGATCTTGCAGAGCTGCAATATCATCAATATTAATACTAATTATAGTATATGTCTATAGACGTTGAGGTTTTAGTAAATCAATAATAACCTGTGACAAACTCCTGAAATTACATTTTTAAAAATAAATTCCTGAATCACTCTAGTTTTATTATAATTTATCTCCATACTAAAAGAAGATGATAGAATGTTAAAGTAACCTTTCTGAATTTTCTCATTGTTTGGAAACTGAATTAAGACATTTAAGATACTTAAAAAAAAAAATTACTTTTCTTTTCTTAACTTTTTTTTATGACTAAGACTATAAGGTTTAAAATACTATATTGATAAACCAGTTAAGCCATTAAGCCATATATCTTCAAAAGTATAGATTTTATGTTTACCTGCCCCAATGACTCTCTCAATGCGAATTCTTGAGGGATCAATCTCCTTTGCAAATTCATGGACTGCTAGGGATGGGTCTTCGTAGGTATCTGGATCTATGTAAGTTTTAATTCCTGGAAAGCGTACTGCAACAAAATAAAAGACTGATTTAGCATAAGAGGTTTTTTTTGTTTGTTTGTTTTTTGTACTTACATATCTTGTGACTATTTAAAATAAGGTGCCACTTATTTAAGTAGTCATTCTTGTTAATTACTTAAATGCAATTCTTTTTTCTCTTTCTGCCCCCTCGCCCCCAATGCCTCCACTCCATTAAAGCTTTGAGTACTTGGAATAAAATTTTATTTGCTGTTAATGTTTAATGGAAAGTGAGCTGACTGGTTCCAGAAAAGACATTTTTATTATATTTCTGTAAAAAGTTTAATCTGCTCACTTGCCCACTGACAGCCCATACATTTCACATCTGATCTGGCTCAGGGCATGGGGGAAATGAGGCACGAACCTTCCCCCACTCACTTCTCACCCCCGAAACAAGCAAGCAAGCCTGTTAATGTCCATCCTGGGCCCCTTGTCCTCTAAGGCACTTTGTTTTCCTGAACTTATGACCCAGTCCTGTGGTCTCTCCCCTTCCAGAAACTCTTAGGCAGTAAGAATAGACCCGAGGCACAGTGTCAGAAGACAACAACCAATAGTGGTTCTTTCCTGATGGCAGAATACACAGGGTCCTGAGAAAAACCCTTTTCTATTCTGAAGGGGAGGGTAGGAGAGAAAGGCACAAGTCGTGGTTGGCTGTGTAATTGCTACTCTTCCTCTGGTGGGGGTGGATGCTCAGTGCCATGGGCGGTAAGACAGGGATGGCTGGGACACTTGAATGCGCAGTTGCACATCATTTGCAATTTCCTCAGCATCTGAAGTCACAGCCTGCCGGTGGTAATTCCTCTCTTTTGCTCACGGGTTTGTGCTTTCTACGTTAGATTTCTAGCTTCTGGAGGACAGGAGATCACTTCTTATACATTTTTGCATATTCCCAAATATTTTAGGTATGGTTTTATAGGTAATATTATATCTTTTGGCCTTGGCATAGACATAATTATGAGTACAAATTAGTGGGGATTAAAAGATCAATACAAATTTGCAATTAGTTTTGTGGTTTCTTAGATTTTGAAAGCCACACACAAACCAAGTTAAGTATTGTCTAGGTCATCCTAGAAACATGCTCTTTCAAGAAAAATCTCAAAAGCAAGCGAACAAAAGATAATACAGTGAGTTTAGAAAAGGTCACAAAATGCCCATTATCAGCAATAATTTTGCTTCATGAGTTCTATGCTTGCTGCCTTCTTTTATTATTTTTGCCAGCTGTATGCTGGTACTAGATATGTACCCATGAGAATAGTACTTCTCAAAATGGCACTAGTGAAGCATATCTCTAGATGTACTAAGACCTGGCATTATTCTGAAATGCTAGGCCTTTCTTGATTTCCTAAAGTTTAGATTGGAGGAAAGGAGAACGGATAATTTGTATCTCTTATTTATATTCTATATGACATTTGAGTAATTTCAGTTTGCATACCATAAACTCAAATTCAGTGACTACTACTAGTATCTACTGGTAACTGATAACATTATTTTGGGCACAGATAAAAAAGATATTACTTAGGAACTGATTTTAACAATTCAACCATTTAATTATTTAAGGTGATACACATTTCTCAGGAATACATTGGTTAGTTAATATCACTCTTTTCCCCCTTGTAAACATAATATATGTGTTATAGGAAAAAACCCAACTTAGTTCTAATTTTGAATGTCTTGTTACTCATTTAACTTATCCCAGTCTTTTGAAACATCAGTTTATCTTTCTTCTATCTCCTTGGCTGCCTCAGGTTATTTTCATTGCTTCTCACTGGGCCATCTGGTTTAGTTTATGCTACACTGTTAGTTGGAAAACAGATACTAAATACCTCAGGAGCATCTCTTTCTTCTGCATTTCAGTTCTAAATGCCCCACAGTGAATCTTAAGGTTGCTCAGCATAAGTTATCTGTCCAGGTGTTTGGATCCATGTTTCTGCATCTGTTTCCAGCTCATTTCATGCCTGGTATAGGCTGTCTCAGCTCTCCCTTCCCTCCCAGTGCAGCCTCAAACTTACTGTTCACAAGAACAACTTGGAGAACTTGCTGAAAATGCAGATATGTTGGCCCTTCCCCGGCTCTTCTGAATCAGACCTCTGGGGAGTGAGAGTGGAATATTCTCATGCAGACACTCCCAAGACCACTCTTTGAGAAATCACGTGAGCCTTAGAAATAGCCTTAAATCATCTCTCTAGTTTGTAAATTCCTCTCTTGAATCCTTTCCCTCCCCAGGATGGTGATAGAGTTTTAAAAGTCCCTTACTCATTTGACTCAATCTAAAGTAGAAGATGAGCTTAAATAGTTAAATAGCTCAACTCACATATCATCTCTACTCTGTGGCTAATTGGAAAACATCCCTTTCTTGTTAATCCAGCCTCTAGCTGCAGAGGAGCTTTCCAGACAAAGTGGTTGAGGGGGAGGTGAAGGTGAGTGTTGGGGAGGAGAGGTTGGTAATCAGGAGACTAACTATGGTGCAATTACAGCGTGCTTGGGAAGATATCCTTCACATAGACATGACCTTGCAATCAGCTCAAGGATTTCATACTTATTCTTAGAGTTAAGGAGCTGATTTTCTTTGTTAGTGTTAATGAACTGAAAATTGATCCGTTATGTGTTTAAATGACAGTTCCTGTAAGAAGGGATAAGGATTCCATAATGTTTCTGTGGCGAAAGCCCCACTAAATAAAACCAACTCACATGCTGAAGACATGGTGAAGGGTAAAGAGTAGGTACAATCAGTCATTTTGCATTTTTGACATATTCGGTCTGTTGTGCTTTTCAGCAAGCAGAAGTGGGAACAAAGCAATATCATTTAATGAGAAGCAGGTGCATTTTTCACCCACAAGCCTGGAAGCCAGATGAAAGGCTGGAAGTAGGCTTTTTGGCTTTCTTAACTCACTGATCCAAGTTCACAAGGAACTTTTGAATAGAAAACAATGGAGAAGAGTCACTTCACTACTTACGGTCCCCATTCTGTAAGTGGTTTCTTCTCTTCTCCTCTGACTTCATTTTTGCCTTTATGTACCATTGGCACCTTTAAAAAAAAGTAAATAGAATCTTATTTTTAAAATTATGCTAAATAAGATCCAAAGTCGATTAAAATACATATCACTCATGGGCAAAGTCCTTATCATAAAGACCACTTTTTGGGACATCTTTATAAGGTGTGAAAATACTCCATGGAAGGTTGTTTTGCATGCATCAAAATTAATCCCAGAAAAGAATACCATACTCTCAAGTGGATTGATTGATCCAAATGACAGGAATCTTAGAAAATATTTTATAATCAGCAATTTTATGATCATGTCCTTCCACATATGACATCTAAATGAAATAAAAATGTCTTTGAGTCAGAATTTCAGAAATTTACACAGCTATCTTCCAGTTTCACTGCCTCACAGTCTGATTTTTATTTTTTTAATGCCAGAAGTTTGGTAGAGGCATGTCTCTTCTCTCTCAGGGTAATCAAATTCTGAAGATCAGAAGCAGGTGCTTATCTCCCAGGACTTCCTCAACATGAATAAATTCATCAGCATCCACATGATCTGACAGTTCATCAAACTGCTAATTCCAAATGGTTAACCAGAATACATCTGCAGCCCACAATCCATTCTTTAAGTGTGAATTTTGCTTCAAATCCTTTAGCGAATTCAGTATTTATTCAGAAATGCCTTTCAGTTCTCATAGAATAATTTCCAATGAATGCTTCCCTACCAAAGTGCTTAAGAGATATTTCAAAATGAATTATTTTTATCTTATAGTTGAAATTGTTTTCCCCAGCATGTAGAATGTTAAAGCAATTTCTGATGTCATATAAATTGGCAAGCATTAAAATGGAACACCAAAAATAATTTAGTACAAATTTTTCTTCATCATTAAGTTCTCTTGTTAAGTAGTATTCAAATTCTCCTCCAGGAAAAGATAACATTTGAGCCCACCTCTCCAATTTATTAGGCCAAACAAATGTAATTTACAATAACTGTAATGTCTTCTTTTAAGTTTGTCATATTTACGTGTAAAGGAGATATTTTCTTTTCTTTATTTTTTTATTTTTGAAAAATAGTTTTTTTTATAGTTTATGGTCAATATTATTTTGTGTTAGGTTTAGTTAGTTGTATAGCATAGTCGTTAGCCAATCATATACTTTACAAAGCATTTCCCCTAATATTTCCAGTAACCAACAGGCACTATGCATATTTATTACAATATTAATGGTTCTATTTCCTATTCTGTACTTCTATTCCTATGACTATTTTGTAATTTCCAATCTGTACTTCTCAATCCCATTACCTTTGCACCCAATCCCCCAGACCCCCTTTCCTCTGGCAACCATCAGTCTGTTCTCTGTATCTATGATTCCATTTCTGTTTTGTTCGTTCGTTTATATTCTTTGGATTCCACATATACTAGTAAGTAAAATCATGTGGTATTTGTTTTTCTATGACTGACTTATTTCACTTATCATAACCTCTAGGTTCATTCATTCATGCTGCCTCAAATGTAAGATTTCTATCTTTTAAACAAATTGATTTTTTACAGAGAGGAAGGGAGAGAAATAGAGAGATAGAAACATCTATGAGAGAGAAACATTGATTAGCTGCCTCCTGCCCACTATTGGGGATGTGCCCACAACCAAAGTACATGCTCTTGACTGGAATTGAACCCGGGACCCTTCAGTCCCTAGGCCAATGTTCCCTCCATCCACTGAGCCAAACCAGTGAGGGCAATATCTATCTTTTTAATGAACATTGTCTGAATGTACCACAGCTTTTTATCTACTAATATACTGATGAGCACCTGGCTTGCTTCTATAGCTTGGCTATGGTAAATAATGTTGCAATGAACATAGGCGTGCATATATTTTTTCAAATTAGAGTTTTGGATTCCTTTGGATATATACCCAGAAGTGGAATTGCTGGAATAAGGCAGTTCCATTTTTAATTTTTGGAGGAATCTCCATACTGTTTTCCACAGTGGCTGTACCAATTTGCACTCCCATAAATAGTGCAAAAGGGTTCCCTTTTCTTCACATTATCTCCAACACTTGTTTTTTGATTTATTGATGATAGTCATACTGACAGGTGTGAGGTGACAAAAAATTGCATTTCTCTGATAATTAGTGACTTTGAGCATCTTTTCATATATATATATTTGCCATCTGTATGCCCTCTCTGGAGAAGTGTCTTTTTAGGTCCTTACCCATTTTAAATTGGATTGTTGTTTTTTTTTTGGTGTTGAATTGTATGTATGAGTTCTTTATAAATTTTGGATATTAACCCCTCATCATATGTATCATTGGTGAATATATTTTCCCATTTAGTGGGTTGTCTTTTCATTTTGTTGATGGTTTCCTTTGCTGTGCAAAAAACTTTTTAGCTTCATTTGTTAATTTTTACTTTTGTTTCCCTAGCCTGGGGTGATATATCAGAAAAAATACTGCTATGAGAAATGTCTGAGATTTTACTCTCTGTTTTCTTCTAGGATTTTTATGGTATGGAGTCTTATACTTAAATCTTTAATTCATTTTGAGTTTATTTATTTTACATGGTGTAAGAAGGTGGTCTTATTTTTTTTTCTTTCTTCTTCTTCTTCTTTTTTTTTTTTAATGCATGTATATGTCCTATTTTCCCAAACCCAACTGTATTTACCCTACTGTATGTTCTTACCTCCTTTGTCAAATATTAATTGACCATGTATGCATGGCTTTATTACTGGGCTCTCTATTTTGCTGTTTTGTTTCATTGATCTACATGTCTGTTTTCATGCCAAGGCAATATTTTCTGATATTTTAATGAAATGCTTTTCCATATGTGCATATGCTATTTATATCATTGTATATGTGCTATTTATAATTTTCTGAAATATTATACTCTATGGGAAAATAAGGCCTTAGCTCCTGCTCTACAAGTACATAAAAATATAACTTAAAAATTATAGCCAAGTTTGCCATATATTGGATTACTATTAAAATGTCACTTAAATCAATTTCAATTATGAAGTTAGAGTCATTTTTTAAATTGGCAATAAATAACATTGCTGAATAAATAAAATAATATTTAAGACAGCATCCCAAACTACTTCAAAGAAATTTTCAAATAAGAAAATAAGAATATTTCTGAATCAAATTAACCATCATATTTAATTATCACAGTCTAGTTAACATAATTTGTATATTTGGAGTTGATATCACCTTATATACTTCATTGAACTTTAATAACTGAATAATCTCTTTAGGCTCCAAACTGATTATCTTTAAAGTATGTACAACTCCATGAAAGAGTATTATCAAGATATCAGTGTCCCCAAATTCATAATGCATGGCAATGAAAATATAGTATGGTTTATTCTTCTACTTAACATTTTTCTAATGAAGTTTACTAAACATGTAACAACCAAAAAAAAAAAAATGTTGGCATTTTGATTTCTAACCTAATCAAATTGTCACAGTGACTTTACATACACCAAAATGCTTTTATTTTATTTTCTTCCCTTTTCCAGACTTGCCACATTAACCACTGGCATCTACCCCTCTTCCGAGGCTTTGTTGTCTTCTAATCCCTCTTCTTGCAAGAAATTTCTAGATAGAATGAGAAAAAATATATAACTTTCCCTCCCCCCCCCTTTTAAAAATATATTTTATTGATTTTTTTTTTTTTTTTACAGAGAGGAAGAGAGAGGGATAGAGAGTTTGAAACGTCAATGAGAGGTTCATCAATCAGCTGCCTCTTGGACACCCCCTACTGGGGATGTGCCCACAACCAAGTTACATGCCCTTGACTGGAATCGAACCTGGGACCCCTCAGTCTGCAGGCTGATGCTCTATCCACTGAGCCAAACCAGTTTCGGCCCCCTTTTTTAAAGGTAAACTTAGATCTTCATCAGGATGCATAAGGTTTTGCTTATTCTTTTTTTTTTTTTTTTTAAATATATTTTATTGATTTTTATACAGAGAGGAAGGGAGAGAGATAGAGAGTTAGAAACATCGATGAGAGAGAGTCATCGATCAGCTGCCTCCTGCACACCCCCTACTGGGGATATGCCCGCAACCAAGGTACATGCCCTTGACCGGAATCGAACCTGGGACCCTTCAGTCCCCAAGCCGACGCTCTATCCATTGAGCCAAACCGGCCCGGCGGTTTTGCTTATTCTTTAAATAACCAGTTGGCTTCATCTTTGTATTTGTAAGCTTAAATGTTTATAGCATTTAAACATTTCATTTTATACCTAACTAGAGGCCTGGTGCACGAAATTCGTGTACAGGCAAGGTGTGTGTGTGTGTGTGTGTATGTGTGTGTGTGTGTGTGTGTGTGTGTAGGAGATCTGTCAGCCCAGCTGCACCCTCTCCAATCTGGGATCCCTCTCACAATCCAGGACCGCTGGCTCCCAACTGCTCACATGCCTGCCTTACTGATTATCCTGAATCACTTCTGCCTGCCAGCCTGATCACCCTGTAACCACTCCCATGCCAGCCTGATTGATGTCTAACTGCTCCCCTGCCAGCCTATTTGCCCCCAACTTCCCTCCTCTGCAGACTTGATCACCCTTAACTGCCCTCCCCTGCTGGCTTGATTGCTCCCAACTGCCTTCCTCTGCTGGCCATCTTGTGTTGGCCATCATGTGTCCACAAAGGGGCAGGATCTTTGACCACATGGGGGCAGCCATATTATGTGTTGGAGTGATGGTCAATCTGCATATTACTCTTTTATTAGATAGGATAGAGGCCTGGTGCCCGGGTGGGAAGCAGCTGGTTTGCCCTGAAGGGTGTCCCACATCAGGGTGAGGGTTCTCTTTGGGTGTTCGGTGGCCTGGGTAAGGGGCCTGTGGTGGTTTGCAGGCTGGCCATGCCCCCTAGAACCTAAGCAGAGGCCCTGACATTTGGAATTTATTTACCTTCTATAATACAACTGAAACTTTGTATCCTGGAGAGAAGCCAAGCCTCCTGCTTGCTTCTTGGCTGCTGCCATTTATGTTTAAATTTGGTTACCTTCAATAATTGAAAATTTGTAGCCTGGAGTGGAGGCCAGAGTGTGTGGAAAGCTTTGCTTCCTCCATTAGTGGGGAAACCCAAGCCTCCTTCCTGCTCTCTGTGGTGGCAGCCATTTGTGTTGGGGTTAATTTGTATACCTGCTCTGATTGGCTGGTGGGTATGGCTTGTGGGAATAGCAGAGTGATGGTTAATTTGCATATTACTCTTTTATTAGGTGGGATGGTTAGCTGATTTAGAGACAGCAAAATTTGTTTTCTCTCCAGTATAGAAGATGAATGTATTAAAGCTGTGATGATGGCAAGAAGCTGTTAGCTCTATGTAAAAAGGGAGAAGCAGGAGAGTAATTGACAAAAGTATCTGCTGGTAGCGTCATCGTATGCTAAAACTGCTACTTTTTATTGAGTGAATTTATCATTATTTCCTGTATTCTTTCATATGTATATATTTTTCTTATTGACATAGCTAGCATTCTTCTATCAGCTAATCACCTGAAGCAGGATATTCTGAGGTACTGTTAATTATAACAGCAATACTATGTCTGTTTATATACATGAAAATTTTAAATAAACATAGGGTAAAGATATGCCCTTTTTACAGTTAATGTCATAAAGAAATCACCATTTCAACCTTACCACATTAGAATATTCATGTGTTTCTTTGTTCCTTGATATATTTCATAAAAATAAATTTGTTGCAATTAAATTGGATACACTCTTAACAGATAACAGTTAAATTTTGTTAGGAACCCATATTTGATAAGTGCTTTCTAAATACTGTCAATTTATTGCTCTGTAAGTTTCATCTGCTGTCAAAAGTATAGATAACACTAATTCATATGTGCATATCCTCTGTCATTTTAAATAAAGTTTAATAAATAATGTACATAGTAGAGTTTTAAAAATCAATAATATAAAGATTGTTTCTAGTTCATTGAACTACTGCCCTTGAAGGTAATTATTTGATATTCCTGCTCATTATTAAATATTGGAGTTTTCCAGTACAAATGGTGTACGCTAGCTGGAGTCAGCATGGATGTATCTTGTTTGACTGAAATTCTTATTGTAGTTTTAAATCATGACTTTGGTATTTTTCAGGATGTGTGTGTTTCAGATTATTAGGGAAACTCTCAAGATACCCCTTTGTTTCCCTATTGATAATCTAGAAGGAATGAAAATATGATGGTCTAAAGATATTCTCAAATTTTTGACAAAAGGATGACCTACTATCAAGGGTTCAATAAAAAGTAACACTTATTCTTTTAAATGTGAATGAAGATAATATGTATGAAATCTGAGGTTTAGATAGGTGAACCTAGTCAGCTAGTCAGGATTCAAATCTAGATTTTTTGTTACGTTAAACGCATTGTTACTTTAAATTTTTATCCATATGACTCTAAAGTTGAGAAAAATTAGATTTAGAAAACCAATTAATATAATTCTAATATAGATTCTTTCAATATTTAATGGATTGAAAAGAACACATTTCTGTAACACTACATTGGTAAAGAACTTTCACATAAATTATTCAATCTCTGTTAAATTTTCTCTAAATCTCTTTTACGGCATACTTTGGTTGTAGTAGAGGAAAAACTCAGAATTAACTTATCAAGTAGAAATTTATCCTTTACAGCTTTCACAGGGTTCTTATCAAGTCCTTGGCTGCCTCGTTTTGCAGGGACCTGCTGATACAGAGAATGAGCCACGGTGGTTCTGTCATCTAACAACGGTCACTCTCAGGGCAGAATGGACCCTGACCCCCTTTCTCTCAGGTGTGCTTTGTTACATGTGAAAATGTTTTAATACACAGTGTATTAAAGGTGCTTTTTCACAAATCTTGGAAATGAGCTGGTATACATCAGTTACCTGCCGGTGATTAAGAAGAACAAAGTAAGAATGACAAGGAGAGTAAATCCCCCAACAGCCGCCGTGGCTATCACCAGAATCTGCCCCTGCTCCGCCGCCATGTCAGAAGCTGAAACACAGACACAAGATTAAAATTTCTCGGGATGACATTTCATTACTAAAATTACTTTACAATTTAGAGTATGCCTGAAAGTGTGGAAATGGGTTCCCAAGATCCCCCTCAGATTTGTCCTTTATTGTGCACACAGGATGCAAACCCAAAATAAGGGTTTAAGATTAAGGTCATAACCCACAGCTTAACCCTTGCTGCTTCTTCTCCCCCCCCCCACCCCCGACAAATACCAATAAAGTGGAGAGATGCTTAACACCCCACTTCTTAAGATTAACTGTATATTGAAAATTAAATCAGCAGATGGACTGAAGTGTTTTGCTGACATAATTGCTAATTTCTTTCCTTAAACACTTTGGTCAACAAACAAGGCTTTATACACTGTTTTTGTTGTTTGTTTCTACAAAGTGGAAACAGAATTACCGGTCTTGTATACTTGAAACCTATATAATCTTATTAACCAATGTCACCCCAATAAATTTAATTTTAAAAGGGAAGCAGAAATAAAGATTTTATCAGGTGAAAAAAAATGCCTTTATATTTAACAGTGCTTAATTCAAATTTAAAGTTATAAACTCCACCTCCACAGCAAAAGGTATACATAATTGGTACTCAGATGTTTGACTGGTAGTAATTAAGAATACGCCCTAACTGATTTGGCTCAGTGGGTAGAGCGGCGGGCTGCAGACAGAAAGGTCCCAGGTTCGATTCCAGTAAGAGGTGTGCAGGAGGCAGCTAATCAATGTTTCTCTCTCATCGGATGTTTTCAACTCTCTATCCCTCTCCCTTCCTCTCTGTAAAAAAAATCAATAAAATATGTTTTTTAAAAAAGAATATGCACCAGGCTTCTCATCCTTCATTGATGAGAAGACTAGATAACATATTACAACAACATATTGCTTATGTCATTGACAACATCATTTCTTAAAATTGCATGGGCTTCCTTTAGGAAACCTTAAAAATATATTAGTTCAATTAGTCCATTTGTACTTCTTTGTATTACTGAAATTTTAATTGGATATAATTTTCTTGGCATAGGATATGGGCAGTTGCTTAATAACAGTGGTAAGAAAGCTGAAGCCCAGAGAAGTTAAAGAACTTGATCAAGCTCATATATGATCATCATCACCAGAATTCAGGCTTCTAGATTATTGTTTTACTTTTTCCTTCCTATGCTATTTTTCACAGTAATAATTCAGTTAATTACCAATATTCTAAAATATCAAATCAATCAGTCCCTTTAATATCCTTTAATTTGAATATTGCTTGATTTTTATTTTGATCCCTATAAAAATTAATTAACCCAATCTTATCTAATAAAAGTAATATGCAAATTGGCCAAACCTCTGCTAAACTACCAAGCCATGCCCACCAGCCACATCCACCAGCCAATCAGAGGGAGTATACAAATTAACCCTAACCAAGATGGCTGCAGCCACAGAGAGCAGGAGGGAGGCTTGGGTTTCTCTGGCAATGGAAGAAGCCAAGCTTTCCGCCTGCTCTAGCCATCCTAAGCTTCCAGTCAAGACTACAAAGTTTCAATTATAGAAGGTAAACAAATCCAAACAGAAATGGCAGTAGCCCAGGAGCAAGCAGAAGGCTTGGTTCTGCTCCAGGTTACAAAGTTTCAATTGTAGAAGGTAAATAAATTCCAGATACCAGGGCCTCTGCTTGGTTCACTGGGGTGCATGCTGGCCTGAAAACCACCACATGCCTCTCATCCAGGCTGCCCCACGCCCTAAGGGAACCCTCACCCTGATCTGGGACACTCTTCAGGGCAAACCTGCTGACCCCCACCCATGCACCAGGCCTCTATCCTATCTAATAAAAAGAGTAATATGCAGATTGACCATCACTCCAACACACAAGATGGTTGCTCCCATGTGGTCAAAGATCCTGCCCCCATGTGGACACAAGATGGCCAGCAGGGGAGGGCAGTTGGAAGGCACCAGGCCTGCAAGGGAGGGCAGTTGGGGGTGATCAACCCTGCAGGGGAGGCAGTTAGGGGTGACCAGGCCCCAGAGGAGGGAAGTTGGGGGCAAACAGGCTGGCAAGGGAGCAGTTAGACATCAATCAGGCTGGCATGTGAGTGGTTAGGGGGTGATCAGGCTGGCAGGCAGAAGCAGTTAGGGGCAACCAGGAAGGCAGGCAGGCGAGCAGTTGGGAGCTCACAGTTGGACATCCCTCAAGAGGTCCCAGATTGGAGAGGGTGCAGGCTGGGCTGAGGGACACCACCTACCTCTCCCCCAACATGCATGAATTTCCTGCACCGGGCTTCTAGTCTTATATAATAATAGCCTAATATGTTAAGTGTCTGGTCATCTTGTCAGCCATTCAACCAATCAAAGTGTAATATGCTAATGATATGCTAAGGCTGTCCAACTGCTTACTGTGACATGACTGGCCACCAAAGGGCAGACAGTTGGCTGGTCGACCAGTCACTATGGTGTTCACTGACTACCAGGGGGCAGAAACTCTGACCAATAGGCTAGCTTGCTGCTGGGGTTCGGCTGATCAAGACTGAACTAGTCGGGCCAGACATACCCTGGAGCCCTGGTGGTCTCTCCCCAGCTGGCCAACCTCTTGTGTCCCTCCCTGGCCCTGATTGTGCACTGGGGTCCCTCAGTTTGGTCTGTGCTCTCTTGCAATCGGACCCCTTGGGGGTTGTCTGAGAGCCAGTTTCAGCCCCACCTCACAGGCCAGGCGGAGGAACTCCAGTGCACCAAGCCTCTAGTCAGTTATAAGCAAGAAGTTGAATATAATTGATAAGTAAGTCACTTAATTCTCTATCATATTAATTTATTAAACTTGAGTACTTTAAGACTTCTGCAAAGTAGCTCTTTCTCTGAGAATCAAGCATGCAGTACATCACATACAAATTTATATACAGAGTAATAACTTCCTCATAAAAATGCATATCTACTAGAGAATATCTGAACCTTAAATGTTATTATTGAGTCAGTAAGAAACTAGACACAACATTTAAGATTCCTCTTAAGAAATCTATATGTAAATAAAAACAAAAGTCATTTATGTTTAGTTTGCAATAAAAAATGTATTAAACCTTGGAATTAGACTTTAGTCACTATGATCTAATCAAGATATTTTCAGGCAATTTATTTGAATGTTGAGTTTTTAATCTGTACAGAGACAAGCTAAATAGTTGCATCTTATCCAATATATAATATAGTAAAGATTATTTTCCTGAATGAATTTCCTAATCTCTGAACTAGCATTGATATGGGGATTAATGTATGCTCTAAAATGTCACATTTTCTCATTAAAATTATTGGAAAATACACTGTATGAACAGATATTATAGAAAACAACATTAACTTTTTGAAGATAAAGAAAATGGAATTTAAAAAGAAGGCATTATTTACTTAGCAATTGCTGAATTTATAAAATATGTAATATAGTTTAAGACTTTTAAACTTGGAGCATATATTTTCATGGTAGTCAGGTAGTAAGTAATTTATTGAGACCATGTATATAAAGTTCAGATGGAGGAGGAGATTATGTAATTGGGTGCCTCCTGAAAATCAGATTGCCTTGTTATAAAAAATTGTGTTGTCTTACTTGAGTAATAGCTTGGTAAACTGCCCATTTTACTAATATATCTTCTTTTTCACTCTTTTTCACATATTTCACATATTTATGAACTTTGCTTTAATTGAAATTTTAATTGAATAACAGAATATGAAGTTGTGACACTGAAAAATGCACAGTCCTATCTAATTCCCTAAACCTATGCACTAGGAATCCTAAATCCTAATTTCCTTTGTAGAGAATAATAGTATGACATATATATATATATATATATATATATATATATATATATGTGTGTGTGTCATACTATTATTCAAATGACATATAGATATGTCATTTGAAAATATTATAAAAGTGTATAATATGACGTAGTATTTTACTGGAAGTAAAAAGTTATGAATGATGGGATGAGATGATTATGAAAATATCAATATCATCATCATCATCATCATCATGAAAAACAGCCACTATTTATTTAATGGCAAACTATCCTTTAGCACTATCCTTAGTGCTTCAAATTCATTATACAATTTATCAGCACAATAGTTTTAATAGATAAGTTCTATTTTATTCCTAAAGTGGTTATATATATATATAGGATGTCCCCAAAATGTATACACTTTAACAGCTGATTGCTCAATTTTGTAAATGAAATGTATTTTAATAAACACTACCTTAATAATTATTCAAAGTGTGTGCATACATTTTTTTTGGGAACACCCTATACTATTTGCCTGAGGTAATATTTCTTGTATACAGGAAAACTGGAAATCCAACTTTGATTTGTTAGGCTCCAAGCCCATACTATTGACAGTACATTGTACCACCATTTTCACTAGCAGAACAACTGGCTAGATCCAGCTATTTTGTATGCCCTAGAACAATCATAGCCTTGCTTGTCTTTGTTTTCATGTATGTAAAATGAGATTGTTGATTTATATATCCTTGCCACAACCTTTCAATTTTACTATGACATTGTGTTATAGATTTGCTAGTTGATATTTGGTTCCATACAGAATGTCCACTGAGACACTTGGTCCATGCTAAAAGGTCCTTAAAAACTGGTTATATTTGATCTTATCTAAAATGTCTATGGAGCTATTTGTCCATGATTCATTAAATTATACATTTAACTTGTTAAAATTTTGTTTATGTTACTTTTGTTATAATTCATGTACTAAGAGTAGACATTTTCAACAGGACCGTATATCAAATATGGCATGGATCAAATATGCTGGCATGGATCAAATATGCTCATGGGCATTTTTGATAGAACTAAACTTCAAGGACCTTTTGGCATGGACCAAGTATCTTTGTGGGTATTTTGGTTAGGGCCAAATATCAAGAACACGTTGGTGTGAACAAATGTCTATATGGCCATTTTGGGCAGGAACAAACGTCCTGAAGGATGTTAAACATTCTGCTACAATCAGATATTTGGAAGTATAAAG